ATGAGGGAAATTCAAAGAGCTATTCGTTTATAAACACTGAATTAAGTTTCAGCGATGTACTTGCTTAGATACTTTGATCAGCTGGCTGTTTCATCGTCTCATTTCTTCTCATCATTGCTACAGCGGGCAATTGCACCATTTTTCTCTATTTTGGTTCCTTCCCATTCATTTAATTCCCCACAGTTGTTCTAGAAGAATAAATCTTCAGTGCGGCGTCAAGCTCTTGTGGAATTTGTAAATCATGCAGCTTTTTTGACGCTGCACTAGAGCTATATTCTTCTTGAACAACTTTGTCGAACTAAATGAATGGGAAGGGATCAAAATAGATGGAGCAATTGTCAGCTGAAGCAACGATGAGAAGAAATGAGACGATGAAACAGCCAGTTGATCAAAGTATCAAAGCAAGTACATCGCTGAAACTTAATTCAGTGTTTATAAACGAACAGCTCTTTGAATTTCTCTCATTATTGGTTTCTGAACCTTTTGTGAATCAAATGAAAGTGCTTTTTAACATTTAAAATTCCGACTGAAACGGTTTCAAAACTAATGATTAATTATGAGACACAAAGCATTTAACTAGAAGTACTTGCTCCGCTTTGTAGGTGTGAAAACCCTGAGAAGAAAACAGTGTAAAAAAATTAATGAACGAAAAAAAAAAGAAAACTCACGTGAAAATTTCCAAAACATCGTGCAAGAAGGCAACGCTGACCTTTTTCTTTAGCCGCCGATGTTGACCTTTCAGTATTTCTTTCTGCCCCTGATTTAGTTGGCAAATTTTTAGGACGTTTCTTAGTATTCATACGTTGCCTCTGTAATTTCTGAGGTTTGACCCTAAAAATGAATTATTCACACGAATTTTACAAATTGCACCTGCAAAGAAAATCATATCAAAGAGGTATATGCATGTGAACAGTTCAGGTCGGAAGAATAAGAATTTTCGCGTCAATACAAGAGCAAACCAACAGAAAGGATAATGGAAATTGCCTGAATAGTAGCAAATGCCAACAGCAACCACCAGCTAGGAAAATCGTCGGTGGCTCTCTCATTCAAGACTGCCTACATTGAGCTGTTTTACCTCACGCCCTGTACCAGTACCAATCTATCATCGAAATGAGTGAAAGAATTTGTGAAGGGATCAGTAAAGTTGAATCTTCAACCGTTTTCGTGAGGGAAATGCTACCTACCAGTACGTCATATAAACAAAAATTTCAAAAAAATGCAATGCGAAAAAAAACCTATCGGAGACACTCAGTTGATTTAGCTCAAGGAATGTATCAAATTCACTGGTGAGATTATGCACTGGCAATGCGTTCGCCTGTTCAGCCAAAAGCATGCGATCGAAAATCTAAAAATCACAGTTTTTACGTGTGCTAATTTGAAACATATTGCTTTAGCAAAAATTCGCTTGAAATGAAAATGTACCTTGTTTTCGGGAAGATCCTGGATAGCAGGCATATTTTTATCATAATTTAGCCAACAGTGGTTAGCAATTTCGTCGATGTTCGCTCGACACGCTCCGGAAAATCGCAACATATTGCTGATTAGCTTCGATACTGCTGAAATGCTGGATTATTAGTGATAGGAAGTGGGAATACTCCTAACACTGTTTGCCGAACTTTGAAAATTCGGAAGCTTAAATTTAGCATCATTTAAACTA